CTACCGCCACCATCAATCGTGCAGCCATTGTGCTCTTACAGCTGATGCTTTTTTAAATATACTTTTTCCCACAGGGTGAGTGTGCTTGCCAGAGAAAGAGGGAGAAAGAGAGAGTAAGAAATCACCCCCTAGGGGGATGGCCACACTAGTCTTTTGTCCTTCATTCTCCTCTTGGGATTCGGGGTACACACGCACATGCACCTGGCATGATTTTCACGCTGTTGGATCTGGGACTGAAACTGTGAAGTCAGTTATGTGGGACCCAGCACCGTGGTTTGAGAGAGATGAACGGACAGGCTCACAGACGGTCCTGAGGTCTGGAGGCTGTAGCAGAGGCTAAGCATTCCTGTTCTAGAGCTAGGCTAAGCCTCTCTACCCCTGTGGCTACTTACATTTAAATCAAGTGGAGTTAAATAAATGCCAAAGTTAGCTCCTCAGCAGAACCAGCACATTTCAAATGCCCCAGGGCCCCTCGTGACCAGAGATGAACGGACAGGCTCACAGACGGTCCTGAGGTCTGGAGGCTGTAGCAGAGGCTAAGCATTCCTGTTCTAGAGCTAGGCTAAGCCTCTCTACCCCTGTGGCTACTTACATTTAAATCAAGTGGAGTTAAATAAATGCCAAAGTTAGCTCCTCAGCAGAACCAGCACATTTCAAATGCCCCAGGGCCCCTCGTGACCAGTGGCTCCTGGGATGGACCCGGCACTCCCGTATCACGATAGAACTCGCTAGTGCCAGGGCTGCCCTCGGCCGCTTGCTGGAGCCCAGGGCCTACCTCTCCTGCCCGACAGCAGCCAGGCCTCGGGCAGAGGCAGCAGAGGCAGCAGAGGCTGCTGGTTCCTGCCCTCTTGGCATTTATCGTGGCATGCGAAGATTTCCTCTGGGAAGCCTTAGTCTCTAGGTCTGTTGACTTTTCTCTTGCAGAGCCACACCTGGATCACCCCCTGAAAGGCAAGCTGGGGCTTTGGGAAGCTTAATGCTTGGCGGACACATATCCATATCCCTTACTGACAGGGTGAGCCACCCTGAGGCAGGCTCCAGGTCTCCTGGACTTTCCCAGTGGGGCTGAGCTCTGGGGGCCGACAGCTGTGACCTGGCAACAACTCGCCCTTTACAGGCGTCTTTCCCTCCTCCCTATGTCACGTCCCCAGTCCAGCCAATGTCGCCTGGAACCACCTCCCAGATAAATACTTCAACTTGATCGCTTATTTCAAGTTCTGCTTCTGGTAGAACCCGAGCTGAGGCAGCACAGCGGGTCTCTATGCCTTGGTTTACAAATATGTGAAAGGAGATAGCCAAGTCTGAACAGCAGATGTCGGCGAGTGGGCCAGCCGTAGTCATCCCTGCAAAGCACTGGGCTCAGTGCTGCGTACGTGGTGCCCACGGTCACTCAGTGTTTGTCCTGGCGTCCACGACAGCGGATGTGTTGGCTTTCAGCCAGTCTCATTGTCTCACCTCAGAGATCCTCCAGGCTTTAGATTTTATGCCATCAGCATCTGCCACAAGACACCACTTACTTTTTTTTAATTCTTTTTTTGGAGATTTTTTTTTTTTTTATAGGGTACATGCGCTCACCAGAAAGACAGAGAGACAGAAAGTGAGACATCCCCCACTCATGGGGGGATGGCCACGCCACAATCCCTTCTCCTCCATTCTCCTCTCGGGATCTTGGGCACGTACGCACACATGCCCGGCGTGAGTTTAAGCCACCATGTCCAGGACTCGAACCGTGGTCGACTACATGGGAGTCCAGTGACACAGCCATTACGCCAGCTGCAGGTCCCAAGACACCATTTCCTGTTAACCATGCTCCTCTGTGTTTGTCTCTGCCTAGGCCCCTTAGTTTTTGGGGAGCCCATTGCAGCCAGCCTGGGGACTGATGGCACCCACTACTGGAGCAAGAACTGGGCCAAGGCAGCAGCATTTGTGACCTCCCCGCCCCTGAGCCCGGACCCCACCACCCCTGACTACTTGACCTCTCTGCTGGCCTGGTGAGAGCTGGAGGACATGGGTGGGGGTGGGGGGAGGCAGCCAGGGGTGTGGCAGGGGGTGCATGGGAGAGTTGATGGGTGGGGAGACCACAGGTTGGTTTGGACTCATGTAGAACGGTCGAGGATGCCTGGGCTTGCTACTCTGAGAGGACCAGCTCCATGTTTGCAGCCCACCCTGGGGACCTGGGGTGTGTTTTATCCAGTAACTGTTCCTGTCACGTTCACTGACTGCCTCCTGTTCATTCAATGACTGCCTAAGCACCTACTGTGTGCCAGCACTATGCTATATCGGGGAACGCCCGGAGTCAGCCGTGAGAGACCAGGCTGTGTCACCTGGATATGTCCCCTCACCTGCAGCTCTCGGCTTCGGCAGTGCCTGTCCAGCTCTCGGCTTCCTCAGAGTGGGGAGGCCATGGCATGTCCTGTGCCGCTGGACGTGAGACGGTGCACGTAAAAGACCTGTTACCAGCAATCTGACAAACGGTCACCAAGGGCGACGCCCGCGTAGGCCCCTTCCCTCCGATTGGCCGGTGTGAGGGAAGGACGCTGAGCTATGCACAGCCACACGCCACGGCTCAGGGCTGAGTCGTGCAGGCTGCTCTGGAAGCTGGGACGCATGCTCTGAAGCAACCAGGAGACATAGAAGTCTTCGTGGAGGAGGTGACCAGAAGGCCGGAGCTCAGGGGTGGGTAGGAGTTGACCTGATGGGCGAGAGTAGGGAGGGGCTTCTCTGCAGAAGGAATCCTGTGTAGGCATGGAGGGGCCAGGTGTGCACCACTGTGGGAATCTTTGTCCCCCAAATGATGCAGAAACCCTTGGCTGGTGTATCCGAGGGCTTACCCACTTCTGCCACAGCCGGACGT